AGTATCTATCTATAAAAAGGGGAATAAGGACAACCCAGGAAATTATAGACCAGGCAGCTTAAGTTCGGTATACAGAAAGATAATGTAGCAGATAATCAAACAATCTTTTTATAAGCACCTAGAAGAAAATAAGGTAGTAAGTAACAGTCAACATGGATTTGACAAGAACAAATCATGTCAAACCAACCTAATATCCTCCTTTGACAGGGTAACAAGCTTTGTTGTTGAGGAGGAAGTGAAGTAGTAGATGTAATATCTCAACTTTAGTGAGGCTTTTGTTATTGTCTTACCTTCTCATAAACAATCTAGAGAAATACAGCCTTGATGAACATACTATAAGATGAGTGCACAACTGGTTGGAAAGTAGTTGTCAGTGGTTGACTATCGAGCTAGAAGAGCATAGTGAGTGGGGTACCGCAGGGCTCTGTCATGGGTCCGGTTCTATTCGGTATCTTCATAACGATTTGGATAATGACATAGAGATAAAGTTCACTGATGGTACTAAACTGGGAGGGTTGCAAGTGCTTTGAAGGACAGGAGTAGAATTCAAAATGAACTTAACAAACTGAAGAAATGGTCTGAATTAGGATGAAATTTAATAACAAATGCAGAGAATTGTACTTAGGAAGGAATAATCAGTTGCACAAATGGGAAGGAGGACTTTAGAAAAGGATCCGGGGGTTACTGTGAATCACAAACTAAATATGAGTCAACAATGTAATGCTGTTGCAAAAAAAATAAAATAAAATAAAATAAAAGCAAACATCATTCTAGGCTGTATTAGCAGGAGTGTTGTAAGCGAGACACAAAGTAATTCTGCTCTACTCAGCACTGATAAGGCTTTAAATGGAGTACTGTGTCCTGTTCTGGGTAACACACTTCAGGACAGATTGGAGAAAGTCCACAGGAGAGCAACAAAAATGACTAAAGGTCTAGAAAACATGACCTACAAGGAAAAATTGAAAATATTGGGTTTGTTTAGTCTGGAGAAGAGAAGACTGAGTGGGGACATGATGATAGTTTTCAAGTATGTAAAAGGTTTTTATAAAGAGAAGGGTGATAAATTGTTCTCCTTAACCACTGAGGACAGGATAAGAAATGGTCTTAAATTGCAGCAAAAGAAATTTCGGTTAGACATTAGGAAATACTTCCTAACTATCAGGGTAGTTAAGCACTGAAACAGTTTACCTAGGGAGGTTGGGAAATCATTGTCATTAGAGATTTTTAAGAATAGGTTAGACAAACACCTGTTAGGAATGGTCTAGAAAATACTTAGTCACTCCTCAGTGCAGGGGACTAGACTAGATGATCTATTGAGGTGCCTTCCAGTCCTACGTTTCTATGATTCCAGGTTTTTTTGTTCTGGCTCCACAAGAGAGAGAGGAGCCAAAAAAATGTCTAATTCATCACCTATGTCTAAGATCCCTCTAAGCTGCGCAGTTGCGCAGCAGCCTATTAAGCGCTGCGCAGGGGAGAGATGCCTCTCCCCCAGCCCTGGATCTGCTGTTGCGGGGAGAGACGCCTCTCCCTGCCAGCCCCAGCCCAGTCCTGGACATGCTGCGGCCAGGGGGGTAGTCCTCTCTCCCCGCTGTAGCCCTGGGGTAGCCTACACCCCAAACTCCTCCTCCCTGGCCCCACGCCAGAGCCCACACCCCCAGCTGGAGTCCTGACCCCCCACGCCCTAACCCTCTGCCCCAGCCCTGAGCTCCCTCCACACTCTGAACCCCTCAGCCCCACCTCCGCCACATGAATTTTGTTATGTTCACCAATATGGAGGTGATGTGCAAACTATTTCATAAACTGGGCCATCCCTAAATAGCACACAGCTGTCTAAGGCATGAGAAATAATAAAAAAAAATCCAACCCCCCAGAAGTTCACCTCTCCAGGGGCTCTTCAAAAGCACTTGACTCACTTGCCCTAGGTGTTTCCTATCAGCAATCAAATTTCCTCTCAGTTTGGCTGTCTCAGGCCCTAGCTATTCAGGTTCCTCCAGCCCTGAGGGAGGGGTGCATTTTCTGTAGTTTGAGCAGCCCTGGATTGAAGCTACTTTTCCTTTGAGTCCTTAGTCCTCGACCGTAACCCTATCCTTACTGAATTTGATTGACAGCTTAAGCAGTTGTACGCCCAACGCAGTCCATTAACCCCTTTCTGGGGTTATTGGTTTATAGACCCTAAAACCCACTTCTAACTCAGGATCCTTCTCTGTAGTCCAGAGCTGTGGTCTGTGTCTAGGTAGCATTCAGACTGGATCACCCCAGAATGCATTGCACATCAGTCACAGGGAATGGTACAAATGACTTGAAGAAATGGTTGCCGAATTGTTTGTGTACATGGGGTGCTGCCATTGTCACCCTACACCGAGAAGGCTGATGACATAGTGGAAAAACGCCTGCACCCAGTTTAAACTAACACTTCAGCCATTGCGATACAAACAAAGCAAAAAGTCCTAGTGTGGATGTATTCATTGTGGCTACACGCAGAAGCTTGGTACCGTAGACGGGATGGGTAAACTTTGTTTTAGGGCAGGAAGGGGCAAAGGCCCTGAAGTTCTATAATCTGCGTACAGCAATCCTATGCAATGTGTATTCATATTCTAAAAAGTAGCAACATCATACTTTCTTCTATTGAGGTTGTTAAACATTCTTCCTCTGTTAAATCATTAACCCTCTGCTTATGCAAAACATCTTTCTTGCGCTCTCAATGCAAAGGACCTGAGAAAAAACTTTCTCATAAATCCAAGTGGCCATTAATGTCTTGAACATGTCAATTCACTGAGTCCATGATTTTTATTTATACCCTTCTCTCTCCCCTTTGTGATGTATCCTGGCTATTTAAATCCTCTTACTTGCTACTAATCTTTGCAGTTATTGTTCTCTGTAAGTGGCATCCCTGCCAAATGGAGTGGGCTGATGGAGTCAGGGACAAACCCACTGAGCTTTACACACAATGTTATATAACTAGCTGCCAGGCTTTGCCATGCTCATCACTGAAGGCTTTATTGTTTCTCACAGATACTTATGCACATTACTCATGGGATTCTTTCCATTCCAAAGTTAACCTTTCCATTTATTGAAAAAGAAAAACATCGAATCCACAGTTCTAACATTTTGAAAGAATGCTGGAGTTCTGACCCATGTCAGTGCTGTGCAGAAGACCAACTTTCAAGAGTTGAATCTTGGGGCATCCTTTAAAACTTGGAAAGGGTGTTCATGTGTGTGGACCCACAAGATTTGGGACTCTGGCTAAAGAACTGCTCTATATCTGACATTGCCTCCATAATGCTAAGTTTATTCTGAAATTGTTGGTGATGGTGTCAGTCTCCAGATCCTGTGCTGACTGTGCTACATAACTACCTAAATAGTGCAGTATTGGTTGAGAGAGTACAAATGTAGAGAAATACTAGCGCTAAGCATAAAGAAATATTGTGATATTTTACTACTTTTTCTAAGTGCTCCCAATTTCTTCTGTTGGTTTCCAGCCAAATTTTGTTGAAAAGTTCAAGAAATATACCTTTGATTGTGAACCAACATACCATTGTTTGTGTTTAACCCATACATCATTGGGATTTAGAATTACCTTTGTACTAACATGGTTGTTGATCTGCCATTTCTTCAAAAATGCATTAAGAACTTTTCATTGTTCCTGAGAAGCACGAGACTAAAGTTGAAAGATAACAGTTTCTAAATCCTGCCTTTATATCATAAAGAAATTCTGATCACAAATAGTTATGTTTAAATGCTATATCTCTATCAAATTGGCCAAAACGTAGCTATTCTGAGATGAAAATAATGTTTTGAAACTCTTGTCTCACTTAAACCGTATTCCCTGCTAACTGGCCAATATGTAAATCCTGTGGTTTATGTTTCCGGAGACATTCCAAAACTGAGCAGACGGAAAGAGGGAGGAGAGCTTATTTGGCTATTTATACACTATGTTTAACTAGTGGCTGAGGATTTATTATTCAAGATACAAAATGTTCTTCTGGGAGAGAACCTCTGATCTTTTGCAGAGTAAGTGTACTACGAACATGGAGTAGGACATGAAAGCATTGTCCAGGGCACTTTGCAGAGGCTCTTCATAGTCAGTATCATGCTGTGCTGTGTGTACATTACAAACAGGAAAATTGTTTCATAGCCTTGATTTTGGGTCTGGGATGATAAGAAATGCAAAAGATAACAGCCCTTTGATAAAAAGATTAGCACTTCATTGAATTCAGGCTTCATATATTTTACTTCTTGGTCTGAGACTTGCAGTTTCAGCAAACTTTTGAAATTAAGTAATTCCCTTTTATTCACATCCAAAACCATCAGTTCGTGTTAGGCACAATTTGCAACTAGATTAGAAAGGATTTAGGATTGAAAAAATGTCATTCCTCAAGAAGCTGCCCTCTAAGTTTAGAAACATTTAGATGACAAATTGGATCTTATTTACGTACTGCATCATAAAGCTGATATATAGATTGGGTCAAGATTTTTGTTTTATAGTGCTTCATCCCAATGAAGACTTAACCAAACTGCTTTGTGAACTTGCCATTGTGAAAACATATCCTGAAACCGGATTGTTTCATATTGCGATCTCAAATGCAATACAGTTAAGTTATTGCAATCTGGAAAATCATTTCTTGAGCCTAGAAGTTCGTAATTTAGACAATTTAAGTATGGGTATGCTTGGGTATGCTGGTCTAGAAATGTACTCTTGTGTGAAATGCAAAGTATAGCATTGCTGTTTGTTTAAAATCCTGTTTATCTGACACTACAGTTGTTTGATTTATTGGGTTCAATGTGTGTTCCAAGATCGTTTCAAGGTTTCTGATTTTTATAGCGATCTCTCTCCTTTTAGTATGCCATCTCTTGTGAGGAGGAAAGTTTATAGCATCCCAGCAAAACTGCACTGGAAAAGAGCCACCATCTCCCCAGTAGTCTGCAACTAAGGAATCAGTACATTGATTTTAGAGGCTATAATGCAGGATAACATTTTATCAACTCTTTATGTTTTGCAGCAGTGGCAGCCACTGGCTGTAACCTGGATAAAGTAAATATTCTCCCTAGTGCCTTGATAACTCCACTTATGCCAACCAGTGTGATTAAGAATGAAGATGTGGCTCCAATGGAAGTTACAGCTGAAAAAAGATCTCCCACTATTTTCAAGGTAAGTTAAATTGTGATTCCACTATGCTGACTATCCAAGCTTCGGGCATGTCAGACTATTTCCTGGTAGTGTGCAGCAGAGGAGAGAAATAGGAGAGTGGTGAAAACTTCATAGCTCAAATCCAGACAAACCTATGATCCAGACATGCACATAAAGGAGAGTGATTCCCTTAAAAGTCATCGACAGGAGCTCTTACTCCTGCACTTGTCCATAGTGAACCAGATTGTGGAGCAGCACAGGTGTACAAGTTCTGTTAGTAGCTTGCTGGCCCAAAGTCTCTGTTCTCCTGTTGCCCTGTGTTCAGTCATAAAATCAAACACGCCAACCTCCAGAAGGCTACTACTAGTGACCTGCCCTGAGCAGCAGCCTGCTCTGTTGACTTGGGAGAATGAGGAGGAGCAAAAAGGAAAAAAGTGATAAATACACAGAGTGGGGGGAGAAAAAAAACCTACAGATAGGAAAACATGAGAAACCAGACAGAGTAAGGGAAAAAATTATGACCCAGTGCCAATACAGATGCATGTGGAGGAGATAGTTACCAGTTTATCACTTAAAAAAAAGTTGGGTAACCATGACCAATGGCTTATTTAGGATGTTTTGTTTGGGATGCCTTTTGGTTCTTTTCTAGGACAGTGGGAAATTTTCCCCCTAGAGTAATCTACATTCCCCAACTACGTGCAGGCAGGTTCATTTGTAAGGTATGAGTATCTGCTTTTGAGTCTCAAAACTGGACAACATAGCCAAATGAGAAATGCACGTAACCAAGACAAAGTAAGTAAAAGATAAGGAAAACAGCTGAGGAAGGGAAGCACTGCTACAGGAAATTTGTTGGTATAACACAAAGCTGGAGAATAGCTGAAAAACGTTAGTAGTATCACCATTGTATGGCTGCTTCTCTGTTATACAGCAGCACAATAAATACAGAACAGTTTTATTTATTTGCACCACAGTCAGTGAAACAAGGAACAGTCAGGATAAAGCCAGGACAAACATACATGCAAACCGATGACTTCATGGAGACTCGAGAAAAAGAAAATACTGCAAGCCATTCTACATTGCAACTATTTATTAAGTGACCTCAACAAACTCAAAATGTTCATACAGTTTAGGCACTCAATTCCACTTTTAGGCAACTTTATAAAAGTGACTAGATTTTCAAAGATTCTAAAAGTATCCACTATTCCCGCTGAAACCCAGGTGTGTTGTGCAGTGCTGCTCATCAGCTATGAAAATCAGGTCAACCAAATATGCAATTGTCTAAACTTTTTGCACCCAAGTTTGAAACTGTTGACCTATGTGTCTATGAAATGAATGCTACCACTTCCTGCTAAGAATTTAGACTTAGACTACCTCCCACAAAGAAAAAAACTAAGACATGCTTCCCCCCCAGTCAGAACAAAAATCAACTTAAAAGTTAAGGGTTGCAAATCCATTTCTCTTACTGAATTAGCCTATCAACTTTTACTGTCAATGGCTCAAAAATAAAAACTGAGCAAGTTATTTTATCCTACATCTGGCTTACAGCTTCACAAATAGGAGTTTCCCACACTGATGCACATAAACCTTGCTTGCTATACTGGATCACACTCCTGGTCCATGAAGTCCATCCAGTGTTTTGTCTACAATAGTCCACTATCTGATGCTTCAGAGAAAAGTGAATAAACCCCCACTTAATATATCTAGCTAATTCTGCAGAGTATATGGGTGAAAATCCCTTCCTGGTCCCATTCAGCATCAGTTTATGCAGTGAAACAGAAGGTTTGATCATCCTTATTTTAGCATCATAATAACAAATATTATTGGTTAAAATTTTGCATCCCCTTTTAAAATCAGCTACAGTATTTTCTGATCTCTTGTGGCAGTGCAAATCGTCTTATTAACTATAACCACATCTTAAGGTTTCAGAGTAACAGCCGTGTTAGTCTGTATTCGCAAAAAGAACAGGAGGACTAGTGGCACCTTAGAGACTAACCAATTTTTTTGAGCATAAATAAAATAAATTGGTTAGTCTCTAAGGTGCCACAAGTACTCCTTTTCTTTTTGCACATCTTAAGGCATCACTGAAGGTTTCTAAGCATGACCCGAGTAATCCTACACGCTTCTTAATGTGTACTGCTTTTTTTTCCCACCAGGCTACAAAGGTGGTTGGACCAACTCAACAAACATTAGAAAATATGTCCAGCATATCAGGAAATGCAACCTTTTCAACTGCTTCTTCTCATTTACCTTCTGAGAGTGAAAAACAACATCAGATACAGCCTAAAGTGTATAATCCAGAAACTCTGACTACTATCCAAACACAGGACATTTCACAGCCTGGTAGCTTTCCAGCTGTCTCTGCTCCCAGCCAGCTGCAGAATAGTGATGCACTATTGCAGCAAGCTACACAGTTCCAGACTAGAGAGTCCCAATCCAGAGAGGTGTTGCCGTCAGACAGCACAGTAGTTACTCTGTCACAGTTAACTGAGGCTTCGCAGCAACAGCAGTCAACACTATCAGAACCAGCACAGACACTACAGCAACAGATTTCATCAAGTATTTTCTCACCTGCAAACAGTGTGAGTCAGCTACAGAACACTATACAGCAATTGCAAGCTGGAAATTTTCCAACCAGTACTGCCAGTGGAAGCAGTGGAAATGTTGATTTGGTCCAGCAAGTCTTAGAAGCTGAACAGCAGTTATCTTCGGTTTTGTTTTCTGGGTCAGATAGTAGTGAGGATGTTCAAGAGCAACTCAGTGCAGACATTTTTCAGCAAGTTAGTCAAATCCAAAACAGTGTGAATCCTGGGATATTTTCCTCATCAGAGACAGCAGTCCATTCCAGGCAAGAGAATCTTTTGTCTGGAAGAGCTGAAAATGTCCATCCACAGCCTGAGAGCTCATTGTCCAATCAGCAGCAGCAGCAGGCAATGGAGACTTCTGCAGCAATGGTGATTGGAATGCAGCAAAGTATGTGCCAGGCTGCAACACAGATGCAATCTGATCTTTTCTCCTCAGCAGCTTCAGGAAATGGAAACCTCCAGCAGTCCCCTGTTTACCAGCAAGCTTCCCACTTGCTAAGTGGGCTATCAACAAGTGAAGACATGCAGATGCAATGTGAGTTATTCTCCTCATCTTCTGGTGTTTCTGGAAATGAAACAACTACTACTGCTCAGCAGCAAGTCTCGACCAATGGCTCTACCATGTTTCAGACCTCGAGTTCTGCAGATGGAGAAGAAGCTTCAGGACAGAATAAACAGATGCAAAACAATGTGTTTCAGACCATGGTTCAGATGCAACACAGTGGGGAAAGTCAGCCTCAAGTTAACCTGTTTTCATCTACAGAAAACATGATGGCCGTTCAGGCAGGTGGAACTCAACAGCAGGGAGGTGGACTGTTCCAGCAAGGTGGGGAAATTATGTCTATTCAGTCAGGAAGTTTCATGCAGCAGTCCCCACATTCACAGGCTCAACTTTTTCACTCTCAGAATCCCATTGGTGATGATCAAAATATATCCCAGGAAACACAAGGGTCTATTTTTCGTAGTCCAAATTCCATTGTCCACAGTCAGACCACTTCCTCTTCCTCGGACCAATTGCAGCCTCCAATATTCCACTCCCAGAACGCCATGGGTGTATTGCAGAGCTCTTCTGTACCTCAAGACCAGCAATCAGCCAACATGTTCCTTTCCCAGAATTCAATGAACAACCCTGTAACTCAAGAAGAACAGATGTCATTCTTCACAACACAGAATTCCATTACTCCACTTCAGACAGCCACAAACACAGAGCAGCAAACTTCTTTCCAGCAGCAGGCACAGATACCCCACATTCAAAACCCTATGATTCCCCAAGATCAGCCCCAAGCTCAGCCCACTCAGCAGGGTTTGTTTCAGGCACAAGTATCACTAGGCTCCCTCCAATCTAGTACAATGCCCCAGAACCAACAAGGGGCTATCTTCCAGTCTCAACACTCAATGGTTGCTATTCAGAGTAGCCCTCCATCCCAAGAACAGCAGCAGCAGAACATGATGTTCAGTACTCAAAATACAAGTACAATTGCTTCTCAGAAGCAGACTATGCTTTTCAACCCAAATCAAAATCCAATCACTAATCAGGAGCAGCAGAACCAATCTCTTTTTCATGCACAATCCAATATGACGCCAATGAATCAAGATCAACAGCCCATGCAGTTCCAGAGTCAAACAACAGTGACTCCACTTCAGAATCCTGGGACCAGCCAGACAGAGACACAGCAGCCCACCATGTTTCATAACTCACCCCAGATTCAGTTGGTTCAAGGATCACCAGGTTCTCAAGAGCAGCAAGTCACCCTCTTCATCTCTTCAGCTTCCATGTCTGCCTTGCAGAATAGCATGAGCCAGCAAGAGCTGCAGCAGTCTCCCATCTACTCTTCTCAGAACAATATGACAGGTATTCAAGGAGCTGCTTCTCCTGCACAGCAACAATCTTCTTTGTTTCACAATACAGCAGGAAGTGCTATCAACCAACTGCAGAATTCTCCTGCTTCATCTCAACAGACTTCAGGAATATTCCTATTTGGGATTCAAAATAGTAAGTATTAAAAATCCTTGATTCTAATATTATGGTTTAGAAAAACAGCTACTTTGGAGGCTGCCAAATTACTTGTGTTTGTACAGCTCTGTAGAGGTGTAAAGTGCTAAGTGGTAATGGTTATAGTCCTTTTGTTGAAAGTGTTAGTCATTAAAGACAGGAAAGACATAAATTACACCCATGCCTTTTGAGAAACTTCTGTCACCTTCAATGGAACGTGCAAAAAATGTACGTGTGTATAAGCCAATACAGTTGCATTTCTGTTGGATATACACCATTTATCCCAAAATACTAAAGATTATCTATGAAACCATGGTGGTTGGAAAGGAAATTTTGTGCTCAATGTGAAAAATGAAATTGGTGCTCAGAGTTAGACTTTATAGAAGAGGATCTGTTCTAAATAATTAATTCATGCTTAGTACTTACATAGAGGTAATACAAGGATGTGTTTAAAAAAGTCAGTGAAGTTATTTTTAAAAATAAAGAGCTCGTTAGTACCCCGTATTTTCTGCTTGTGAAGGTACTTATATACTCTAATCAAGTTATCTCTCAATCTTCTTTTTAATAAGATAAACAAACCCTCAAATCATTTTTGTGGTGATTTTCTGTGCTCTCTCCAGTTTGTCAATGTCCTTTTAAAAATGTAGACACCAGAATTGTCCCCAGTACTCAGATATCAGTTTTGCCAATGCCACGTTTAGAGGTAAAACTGACCCCTCTACTCCTACTTATTACTCCCCTGTTTATACATCCAGCAAATTAATTAGCCCCTTTTGGTCACAGCATCACACTAGGAGTTCATGTTGAATAGCACTGAGTTAGGTACCTATCCTTATGGAACCTCCTAGAAACAGCCCTATTCAGAGATGATTCCCCATTGATGACTACTTTCTGAGATCTGTCAGTTAGGTTTGAAGGTTCCTTTAAGAATTCTGAACTTTCACCTTGAAGTTTGCAGTATTTTCTTCTTCTCTCTCACCCCATTACAAAAATAATTAGTCTTCAGATTTTACCTCAATGGGATATTCAACATTTTTCACTCCTCGTGTGTGCCAGTCCCTTTACTTCCATTTTTTGAACACTCACTATTAAAAGTAAAGAAAGTAGAAGAATAAAAAGGATGTTTCCAAACACATGGAAAACTAGTTATTCTGACTAATGCCAAAATTTGTTCTGAGAGAGAAGTATCACTGTATTAGGTATTTCCAAAAATAAGCTTGCCTCATTCAGTGCATAGGAGGGATAGTGATAAGAATCTTAAAGTTAAGTGTAAAAGGAGACAGATGTTTGATTTTCCTATATAGAGTTTGCTTTTTAAATAGTGGTTCTTACCTATGATACCCCTGCTGATATGTGTTACGCTGTTTATCCTTTTGAGGCCTTGATTGTTACAGTCCTACTAATTTCAGAGTGGTAGCCATGTTAGTCTGTATTAGCAAAAATAACAAGGAGTCCTTGTGGCACCTTAGAGACTAAAAAATTTATTTGGGCATAAGCTTTCGTGGGCTATAGTCCACTTCATCAGATGCATGGAGTGAAAAATACAGTAAGCAGGTATAAGTATACAGTACATGAAAAGATGGGCATTGCCTTACCAAGTGGGGGGGTCAGTGCTAACGAGGCCAATTCAATCGGGGTGGATGTGGCCCATTCCCAACCGTTGACAAGAAGGTGTGAGTATCAACAGAGGGGAAATTATTTTTTGTCGTGATCCAGCCACTCTGTCTTTATTCAGGCCTAATTTGATGGTGTCAAGTTCGCAAATTAATTCCAGTTCTGCAGTTTCTCGCTGAAGTCTGTTTTTGAAGGTTTTTTTTGTTGAAGAATGGCCACTTTTAAGTCTGTTGTTGAGTGTCCAGGGAGATTGAAGTGCTCTCCTACTGGTTTTTGAATGTTCCAATTCTTGATGTCTGATTTGTGTCCATTTATTCTTTTGCGTAGAGACTGTCCGGTTTGGCCAGTGTACATGGCAGAGGGGCATTGCTGGCACATATCACATTGGTAGATGTGCAGGTGAATGAGCCCCTGATGGTGTGGCTGATGTGGTTAGGTCCTAGGATGGTGTCCCTTGAATAGATATGCGGACAGAGTTGGCAATGGGGTTTGTAGCAGGGATTGGTTCCTGGGTTAGTGTTTCTGTAGTGTTCAGAAACAGTGGATAAATGGCACAACTGATCTATTTAAACAACACACATCTGGTTCTGCATGTAGCCTAGTCATAGTAAGTTATACTGGTGTTAGCTAGTATTTGCTAGCATAAATTTCCTACCATGCAGTCTTCAGTGTTTCTGCAGGCTTCCTCTCTGTTTTGTAGTGTTACCTTAAATCAATCTCTCTCTCTCGTGTGTGTGTATGTATGTATGTATGTATATATGTGTGTGTGTATATATAATCTCGCTAGCAAATACCAACTAACTAATATATATTAAGTATTTAATTGCTCTGCAGTATGCTTTTCTCTAAAGCAGTTTGTGAAATTAAAATGAATACCTCTCAGGAAAAAGTACTGTGTTTTGCTGAGAACCTTGGTAGTGCTGATCCTGCTGTGAGTTTCCCCCACTGATTTCATTAGCAGGAACAAAAAAAAAAGGAGTACTTGTGGCACTAGACTAAAGACTAAACTAGACTAGGCATTAGACTAGAGACTAAACAAATTTATTTGAGCATAAGCTTTCGTGAGCTACAGCTCACTTCATTGGATGCATTCAGTGGAAAATACAGTCGGGAGATTTTATATACACAGAGAACATGAAACAATGAGTGTTTCATGTTCTCTGTGTACAATGGGTGTTTCATGTTCTCTGTGTATATAAAATCTCCCGACCGTATTTTCCACTGTATGCATCCGATGAAGTGAGCTTTCACTTTATTTGAAAGCTCAAATAAATTTGTTTCGTCTCTAAGGTGCCACAAGTCCTCCTTTTCTTTTTGCAGATACGGACTAACACAGCTGCTACTCTGAAACCTGTCATAAGCAGGAACAGGATTGGCCACTCTGCTATTTCTGTTATTTTTTCGATTCTATTCTCTTTTTCCATAATAAAATAACAAATTAAAATCCTTCAGCAATAGCTGATCGTCTTATCTAAACTGGGAAAATGAGTTACACTTGTCCATGATAGGAATTTTTTTCTAAACAAATGATAGCTAGCATTTTATAGTCGTAGTGTAAGCTGGGCAAGTTGTAGTTTTAACATGTTAGCTGGTCACAGTGAACAAAATTCTGCAGCCACTACTTCTCCCTGATGAGCTGCATGACTTGGGCCTGCAGTGCTTGATGCATCCAGTGACTCTGGTGGTGCTGCTGGGCCATACTTCTCCCACTGGGCTCAGTCCCGTAGCATTATTGTGCGCCAAATAAGCTGTCACGGCCGGGTTGTGGGTAGACAAACCTGGTGGTCAGAGCCGGAGTCCACACTCATGAGACGGGAATCAAGAGTCAGCTTAGTCAGGATACCGGGAAATCAGAAGCAGGAGACAAACTTGAGATCAGGACCCCAAGTTGGGAATCGGGGTCAGGCTGGGTCAGAATACCAGGAGTCACAGCCAGGAGACAAGCTGGAGATCAGAATCACATATCAGATGCCAGGAGTCATGCTGGGTCAGGATGCCAGAAAATCAGGTTGGGGGAGCAGGAAGCACAAGGCACACAGTCCAGAACAGGGAGGAGCCTCATTGTTCAGACCGCTTCCTGTTCCTGCTGTTGGCTTAAGTAGGGCCAGTGGGATAATCAGCTGCTCTGAATTTCCACTAATAGAGTAATTCAAGCAATACAGAACTGCATATGTCAGTAAAATCAAAGTTGTGTACATCTCCTCAATCAGGTTATTGACATGTTTTTGAATCTTTTGATCTTATGTGTAATTGATTTGTTCTTGTACACTGGCAAACTTGCATACCTAATTTATGCATGTGCAAAAGCATGTGTACTTTTGTGCATCCTCTTCTGCCGATTTGGACCTGAATAAAGATGTTTACACTAGTATGTTAACAAACTCCTTTTATGAGTGGATTTCCAAGTTTCAATATCCATGTGTGAAGACTTAGATTCTATTCCTTACTCTACTGCTAGCCTGATGGGTGACCTTGGGCAAGGCACTGCACTGTGTTGTGCCTCAGTTTCCCCACCCATCAAAGGGCATAACAATACTGACCTTTGTAAAGCACTTTGAGATCTACTAGTGAAAAGTGCTAGATAAGAGCTAAGGATTATCGTCATCATTTATTGTATTTATGTTCATTTCTTTCTTAACAGACTGTGGCCAGCTCTTAACCTCTGGACCATCTGCATTGCCAGATCAGCTGATGGCTATAAGTCAGCCAGGTCAGGCACAGAGTGAGGGGCAACCAGCAGTGACAACGCTTCTGTCTCAGCAGATATCTGAGAATTCTCCACTACCTTCGTCTATGACAACCAATCAGTGTATAGAGAAAATTGATGACTTGCTTGTGTCATTACAAAACCAGGGGAACAACATGACTGGCTCATTTTAATTGGCCAAGTAAGTAGTGACTTTGGGTCTGTGGGTGGTCTTGCAATGATATTTAGTAAGTTTTTATATATACCAAAGAACCTCTTGTTTTAACAGATGATGACTTCGCAATGCAGTCACAGTGCATGCAGAAATCAGTTAATATATCTCTATGCCCCTGAAGCAAGTATATAATTCAGGGGTGGGCAAACTTTTTGGGCAGAGGGCCACATCTGGGTGGGGAAATTGTATGTGGGGCCAGGGCAGGGGGTTGGGGTGCAGGAGGGAGTGCGGGGTGTGGGAGGGGTTGTGGTGTGCAGGAATGGGCTCAGGGCAAGGGATTGGGGCGGAGGAGGGGTGCGGACTGTGGGAAGGAGCTCAGGGCAGGGGGTTGGGGTGCAGGAAGGGTGCGGGGTGTGACGGGGCTCAGTGCAGGGTGTTGGGGTGCAGGATGGTTGTGTGGTGTGGCAGGGGGCTCAGGGCAGGGGGTTGGGGTGCAGGGTGTGACCAGGCTCAGGGCAGGGAGTTGGGAGCGGGGTGTAGGAGGAGTTCCGGCTCCAGCCCAGCGCCGCTTACCTAAAGTGGCTCCGGAGTGACAGCAGCATGCACTGGGGCCATGGCAAGCTCCCTGCCTGCCATGGCCCCATGCGGTGTCGCTCCTGGAAGCAGCCGGCACCACGTCCCTGCGTGGCCCCTGGGGGAGGGGGGACACAGGGCTCCATGCGCTGCCTTTGCCGCGCCTCCAGGTACCTCCCCTGAAGCTCCCATTGGCCGTGGTTCTCCATTCCCAGCCAATGGGAGCTGCGGGGGGCAGTGCCTGGAGGCAAGGGCAATGCATGGAGCCCTCTGCTGCCGCGTGTCGTTCCCCCCCCCCCCCCGGGTTGCAGGGACTCGGTGCCGGCCGCTTCTGAGAGCAGTGTGGGGCCTGTGGCACCATGGGCGGCAATCCCGTGGGCCGGATCCAAAGTCCTGAGGGGCCAGAGGTGGCCCGCGGGCCCCAGTTTGCCAACCCCTGGTATAATTTTTAATAGTCCAGTGTAGTGAGTATTGCTGTTCATCAAGAGATCAGAAGCTGTAGAAAAAGTTGATCAAGTTTGGGTTTTGTACTTGAATGGTCATTCGTTGGTCTGTCACCTGGCATTGTAGTCTAATCATTGTAATGGCAAAGGTAAGGTGAATGGGTCACTTTCAGCCTGACCTGGCATCTCTGAGAACTGTCACCAAATCTGGCTTTAGGTAAAACTTTGGGTTTATTGTGGATGCATTAGACGCCACTTCAGTCCATAGTCTTCAAAGCCCTTCCCATCGTGCTGAAGTAGTTTGCATGAGGGCCAGGCATTGCAGGAAATGGTGTTTATTGAACAGGCACCACTTGCTGAAGCATTGTTAGAACTGAGCCAATACAACAGCACGGAGCTAGGAAGTGTCTATTGCTGGAAGGTGCCTTTTCCCCCCACATCAGAGGTAAAGCTCTGCTCATGCATGAGCATTAAATATATATGGGCTCTTCAATTCAGGTATAGTCACACCGTCTGACTATATCCACCTTTTGTAATGATGTTCTGCCTCCCAGAAAAACCTGAAGTTTCAATTGGGTGCTGTGCTCTTCACTTTCTGAGCTAAACTGTTTCGTAATGATGTTGTAAACTGCAAGATAGTTGTCATATTCTGTCCCAAAGATGGCTGCATTTTGGCACTGGGTGTAGACTTGTTTCTGTAATTTGTAAAGAGCTTTCAAATGAAGGAGCTACATGAAAGATGAGACTTCACTAGTTATGCCTAACTCTGTTTTGTTTTTAATTTCAGAAATTCTGTGAAGGAAAAGATTTCCAAGATCCTCTCAGACCTTGTGGCTCTGGATTAGGGTGTATGGAGCTGAACTGTTCTGTTAAAGAATGGCCTGTACCCAAGCAAATATGTAAACTTCACTCTCTTTTCTAAAGAGCACATTTGCTGCCTACTGCAGTGTCTAGCAATTGAGGCTATAATGATAGCATTTGAGACACCTGAAGCCAATAATGGCTGAAAAGCTGTGCTTTGTGTTACAGGGGGTGGAACTGGACTGTTAACCACCTTCCTAGGCCCCATTAGTTAATGGGCTGCTGTTTTAATTCAAAGCATGACTGCTCAGCTATTATTGTTAGAAAATAACACGTTATCATGTTTACTTTTTCTTTCTTCCCTTCCTCCTTCACAACACCTCTGTTGAGTAGGAAAGCTTGTGAAGCAGGAACATCATGTGCCCTAACTCGCATTGTGATTCATGGCATAGCTGTCAGTCAGTGAAGGAATTGCAGTTTTTCCAGTCGAGCTGAAGGACCATTGCAGGGGTGTGTTATTCGCAGCAGGTGGTGGTGGTGATATATATAATATACAATCAGAAAATCTGCTACAACTCTAGGAGCAGCCAGAGAGATGTGGGTGCTTCCCATCTGAGGGTGTGATTAACAGGTTTTTTTCTGTACTGATGATTTTAGATATCAACTGCATAGAGTAAGAATTAGGTGGCTCTATCAAAATGAAGGGGAAAGTCACAGTAAATTGTGTTCTAAAATCCCTTGAACTGAAGAGCGCAATCTGCCTAGCTGAGGAAACAACTGCTTCATGCCTCTCACTATTTTGGCATAGATTAGAACTTGAACATTATGCTTTCTCATGCCAGGCTGCCCTCTTTCATTCTTTCCATGCTCTTCATCCCTCCCCCTAATTTTATATTTGTTTCCTAAGCAAATACAAATATCCTGCTGGTTTTAGAAACTGAAGTAACTCTTAGGTGTCCAAGGCACCTCTCACTGTGGTAGCAAAGTGCCAAGCCAGTGGCTGCATCTTTATAGGTCACCAGGGTTTGAGGGCGTGAGAAAATGCTGGTTTTGTCTCCATCCCCCAAACTTCCTGAATCCTAGAGAAATCCTACTTTTCCCTGTTGTTGCTGATATAAAGTCTTAAACTTTATCCCATATGGGGGCAAACAGCATGATTTTTAATCATTCTTTAAAACATCACTTCAAGCTGAGCTGCTGCATCTTTGTAGCGTTCTTGGTTCATTGCAGGTTTGAAGCATCCATTTTACTAGCAGTCCCCATGAGTTGTAGCCTCTCAGGGGTCATACATTAATTAAAAACAATTTACTCATGTTTTACAGTATCTAAGAATAACCCACTCTAGGCCATGCAGTTGTAGTGTGAGGCATTTGGATTCTTTCAGATGATCCGACTAGCTCAAGAGAGATGTGGTGCCTCACAATAACCTCAGGCAGACGTTTTCTTCAGTCTTTTCCCTCTCCTTCCTGTAGAAAGATGTTAATGCAGGTTAGAGCCAAACAGCTGTCATGCGTGGCTACTATGCCTTGGTGTAGCATAATTGGTATCCTGTCACTTTTCATTTTGGTTATTTTAAGTAATGGAGAGTAGCCTGTAAATGGTTTTCAAGTTACCCTAGTCTGTTTACTGCGTGTTTTTTCTAACTTGTGCACCTAGTTGAGCCATGTAGAGATGTTCTTTGGTTTTAACGGTTTTTCCCGTGTGTCAAAATCTGTCACAATGTTCATTTTCTCTTTTTGTGTGTGTGTCTGTCTGTCTGTCTCTCTCTCTCTCTCTCTCTCTCATTGAGAGGCATTGAATTACGTTTTCAGTAGTAAGGCTTCTTGCCGATATGAAGGGAACTTTTCAGAAAGAGACCTGCTCTGGGTCATTTAATTTTGAATACAGTTTTCAATCGTTCAAGTTTTGGATGGTTTATATCTAATGTGTGTTTCATTTTTTTGGAAAGCTATATTTTGTATTTAGGAAATGGTATACTATTTTGCTATTTGTACTGAGTGAGTACAATGGCATAAATATAAAAATTTATATATATACATATATATAAAATATTCTTTTTGCCACACATTTTTGTGGTAAATTTGTGAGTTTGTCTGATGTTCTACCACAACGTGGCGTCTGATAATGGTGGGGGTGAGGGTGGGGTTTGTTATGTCTTTACTCAGTATTTAAGTACTTTTTGCAACATAAATAGTTTGTTCATCTTGGGCCATTCCATCTGGCAATGTATTGTTCCCGTTGGCTCTGGACAACTTCAGTGTGTGTTTGTGTCTGTCACACAGCAGTGGGATGTAGTAAGGAAACCCATTTAGACAACTGTCTGATGGGCTTTCATTCAGAATGAGCCATTCAGCTTTTACTCTGTCACTGTCTATTTAATATTTTATTAGCTCCTTTGTGTTGGATCTTTTAATTTATAATTACACTAAAATGTTTGAAATTATAATCATGTTAAAGAAAATTTTCTCGACTTCATAATGTCCAGAGCTGCTTTTTAGCTCTGAACCATACGCTTTTCTTCCGGTAATTTTTCTCCTGCTATGGAAAAAAGTAAAATAAAATCCTTTGTTATGGTTCAGGACATGAAAGAGCAGCCTGTCAGCACTGAATGAGCGCTGTCTGAGGATGAATAGAAGGGTTCTGCACAGCATCGGATTGAATACACCATCCTTTTGTAATCCGTTTGTAAGAAACTGGTGGCTTCTGCAAGAGCAGCTTGTTCACACTAAGTCCCAGAACGAGGATTTTTGGTGATACCTTGACGGCTGCGTAGGCCAACAGTGGGCAGAATGAGGTGATGAGGATGATAAACTGACTTGTGTGCTGTTTGTTTTGGTTTTTGTTCTTTTGAAGGAGAGCATCCTCATGATGAAATGTTGTTGGTCGGTGCCAAGAAACCAGGGACCAGTTCTTCATTTAATAAAATTGGTGTCCAAAATAGAACCTTTTACCAGGGACTGCTACAATTCCCACTGTGGGGGGAATGTTTAAATGTGTGCATATTTTTAGATTGTTGATTACAAGGGCTGTGCTACCATATTCAAATAACGACATTATCTATATTTTCTTTTGTATCAAATTTACTGTCTGTTTTAGGTCAATGTTAAATGTATAACATTTTGAACATGTGATTTGGTTACAAAAAGTATTTGTCTTCTGAATGAAGGGTTTGCTCAGTGGTTGACAAGTGCTCTTGCTGCTGCTTTCAAACAGCTGTTACAGAGGATAAAGAGAGAGGTTCAATGAGCCAGCAAAGGCCTAGGAAACCGCTTACAGAAGTTGTTCCATGGCAGAAGGACCTAAAAATAATGTGAACCACATCTTTGTTCCTTCAGAGCCCTGCTCAGGCACTGTTTTGATTTCAATAGTTGACATTTACTTTTGGAGCTTATCCTTTGTTTTTTCTTTTACCCCCAACTTATTTATTCCATAATATGTCTGCATCAGTATGGGTATTAGAGGAAAAGCACACAAAGTGGATTGCCTGTAGAGTTATTGAGAGGCAGGGGAATCAAATCCAGTTTGGTTTGAAAAGTTAGATATTATTTAAGGTAAATGAAAATATGTGCATCTTGAGTAGTCAAAAAATGACATTAACTATTACCCCTTGCTTATGATGAACATTACTTAAGAAGCCAGACTGCCAAAGATCAAATGTTAGGAGCATTATTGCAAAAGGAAATTTGCTTTCATATCTGTCAGGCCAATGTTCACCAATGGAAGTAGATGGTTTTATAGCTATACGTGCTGGATGGAAGCTGGAAAGCTGTAGAACTATATTTGTAGGGTGGATTTTCTGTGTAGTGTTTCTTTTTCATAGAACCATATTGTTATATGGGACCTCAAAGGTCATGTTGTCTAACCCTCTGCCAAGATGCAGGATTTGTTGTGACTAAACCGTCCAAGACAGATGCTCTCCAGCCTCTTTTTGAAAACCTCCAGTGATGGAGATTCCATGCTTCCCTAGGCAGTTTGTTCCATTGTCCTACTGTCCTTACAGTTAAGAAGATTCTTGAGCTTTTCTCCTGCATGAACTCTCTATTAAACCACCTTTAATACAAAACACACACACACATTCTCTCCCTCAAACTAGGTTATATTCTCCAGGCTTAAGTCACTTCTCCATTAATTTCCCTGACTCTCCTAAACCCCATTTTTCTGATGTTGTCTCTACAGTATGTCTGATGTGTACTGCACACCTGTTTCCTAATAACTGACTAATATCCAGGGAGATGCTCCCTGCTAGCTACCACGTCAGTATGTCTTCTACCTGTGTCATGTTGTCTCCATGTAAACAACACCCTTGTATAAAAAGAAACTGTTAAACTATTATTCCTTTAGTGATGAATAAAGTAGGTGGATAACACTTAAGCTGTAGAAAAAGTTAAGACAAGCATTAGCCAAACATTTCCTATGGCAGGAGATGATCATCATCACTTTCCACTTCACAGGCCAGTCTACTTGTTGGCACTAATTGTCTTCTACTCTTTCAATGGTTATCCAAGCCAAATGCTCTACGATTATTTCCTTTGTCAACAAAATCAATTCAAGAAGTCATTTCAGCCTTGCTGGGCCAAAATAGACAGTTAACCACCAGGCCTTTTGTTTGGCTAATTTTTCATTATTGTCAGTGTGCTCAGAGCCTGTGAATGGACACCTTTTTTTATTTATACTCAATTTAAATAAAAAATAAACAGGTTAGTGTCTGTCAATCTTGACAGCATCCCTTCTCATACTTACACAGAACTGGCATGTCCAGTTGCACAGATGTACATTTTTCTAATCTACATAAGCCTTGAGTTTTCCAGTGCTCCTGCTATGACTTTGATTAGGGGACACTGTCCAAAAAGAAGTCTCATTCTGTTGCTCTGGTAAGATTTTTCATTCTCCAAGATTGTCCTTCCAAAGCCTTCAGAAAGGACAAACCACACAGGAGCTCAAATCCTTTCTCTGACGTAGCCGAAACAACCATATGAGCAGCAGGAAAGATGCTTCGTTATAAAATTTCTTCATTGGAATAAAGAAATTAAACACCCAAAAAGGTCAAACTTTTATAAATTATAGAAACAAGATGGGGGTGAGATCATCTTTTATTGGACCAATTTCTGTTGGTGAGAGAGACAAGCTTTTGAGCTACACAGAGCTGTTCTTCAGGTCTGGGAAAGGTACTTAGAGTGTCACTGCTAAAAACAGGACAAACAGATAGTTTAGCATAAGTAAGCTGACTTAGAACAAGGCTTCCTTAGCTCTTGTCCCCTAATACCCCTACCCTACCTGAGCTACATTGATGACATCTTCATCATCTGGACCCATGGAAAAGAAGCCCTTGAGGAATTCCACCATGATTTCAACAATTTCCATCCCACCATCAACCTCAGCCGAGACCAATCCACACAAGCGGTCCATTTCCTGGACACTACTGTGCTAATAAGCGATGGTCACATAAACACCACCCTATACTGGAAACCTACTGACCGCTATACTTACCTACATGCCTCCAGCTTCCATCCAGGACACACCACACGATCCATTGTCTACAGCCAAGCTCTAAGATACAACCGCATTTGCTCCAACCCCTCAGACAGAGACAAACACCTACAAGATCTCTATTGAGCATTCGTAAAACTACAATACGCATCTGCTGAAGTGAAAAAACATATTGACAGTGCCAGAAGAGTACCCAGAAGTCACCTACTACAGGACAGGCCCAACAAAGAATATAATAGAACGCCACTAGCTGTCACCTTCAGCCCCCAACTAAAACCTCTCCAACGCATCATCAAAGATTTACAACCTATCTTGAAAAATGATCCTTCACTCTCTCAGATATTGGGAGACAGACCAGTCCTTGCTTACAGACAGTCCCCCAACCTGAAGCAAATACTCTCCAGCAACCACACAACAAAAAAACTAACCCAGGAACCTATCCTTGCAACAAAGCCCGATGCCAACTCTGTCCACATATTTATTCAAGTGACTCCATCATAGGACCTAATCCCATTAGCCACGCCATCAGGGGCTCGTTCACCCACACATCTACCAATGTGATATATGCCATCATGTGCCAGCAATGCCCCTCTGCCATGCACATTGGCCAAACCGGACAGTCTCTAGGCAAAAGAATAAATGGACACAAATCTGACGTCAGGAATCATAACATTCAAAAACCGGTAGGAGAACACATCATCCTCTCTGGCCACTCAGTAAAAGATTTAAAGGTGGCAATTTTGCAACAGAAAAGCTTCAAAAACAGACTCCAACCAGAAACTGCAGAGCTTGAATTAATATGCAAGCTAGGTACTATTAATTTGGGTTTGAATAGAGACTGGGAGTGGCTGGGTCATTACACATATTGAATCTATTTCCCCTTGTTAAGTATCCTCACACCTTCTTGTCAATTGTCTAAATGGGCCATCTTGATTATCACTACAAAAGTTTTTTTCTCCTGCTGATAATAGCTCATCTTAATTAGCCTCTTACAGTTTGTATGTCAACTTCCACCTTTTCTGTGTGTGTGTATAGCTTCTTACTATATAGAAGAAAAGGAGTACTTGTGGCACCTTAGAGACTAGTGCCACAAGTACTCCTTTTCTTTTTGCGGATACAGACTAACACGGCTGCTACTCTGAAACCTTCTTACTATATGTTCCATTCTGTGCATCCGATGAAGTGGGCTGTAGCCCACAAAAGCTTATGCTCTAATAAATTTGTTAGTCTCTAAGGTGCCACAAGTCCTCCTGTTCTTTTTAGTGTAAGTAGTTATATATTCTAACGGGCCATTCACGGTGAAGGGGCCCGTTAACACCCCTTTAGTCATAGGACAAAAAGGGGAGTTAGTGGGTTACAGATCGTTGTAATAAGCCATAAATCCAGTGTCTCTGTTAAGACCATGATTTTTAGTGTCCAGCAAAGTTATGTATTTAAGCTCCCAGGCTCATCTGTTTACAATGTGCAGATTTCCTTTGATGAGGACTGGTAGGCCTGGGAACTTAAATTCATAATTTTGCTGAGTGTTAATGGGCCACTTCACCTTGAATGGTCCCTTACACTACTTATGCTAAACTAGCTACTCAACCTTCTATTTAGCTGTGAAACTCTGAGTTCTCTTCCCAGATCTGGGGAAGAGCTCTGTGTAGGTCAGAAGCTTGTCTCACCAACAGAAATTGGTCCAGTAAATATATTACCTCACCCACTTTGTCTCTCTCATATCCTGGGACTAATATGGCTACAATAACAATGCACAGAAGAAGAGAAATTTAATTACAGAATTTTATTTTCAATTGTATCTCACACATTGCTCTATTACTTAACAATTATCAGGCTGTCTATTCAAACTATGTACCCATTTGCAGAGCTCTGTCTATACAAGTATTTATCTGAACAGTGGAAGCATCAAGCATGGTGAGGAATTGCTTAGTGTTCTCTGAACTTGGAACTGTAGGTTGAAAGTGAGAAAAGGGAAATTTAATCTGACCACTGGGAGAAGAAAGAATTATCCCAGTGAGAGATCTGTTTCTGTGGAATAGTCTTGCAAAGAGAGTGGTGGAAGACCCATTATTTGAGATGTTTAAAAGCTAGCTGGATTGATAGTCAAGAGCATATTGTAAGGCTCTTGAGTGTAGAATTTTGATGAGTCTTTTGGGACAGATCTTGATAATTCTACATGCAAAAATATTCACCCTTGCAGTTCTGGTAATGGTGTGTGCAAACAGTCAGTTATGTGTGCAAATGTATACATTTGTGTACAAATAGTTGCCTACTAAGAGCCAGACTTCATGAACTCTTTACTTGATATGTGATATACACTACTTAGAGACAATAAAAGATACGGCACAGCAGAGAAAATCTGGGGAAAATGTACATATAAAATTCTCCAATTTAGTCTGTGCTTTTGAGAGAGAATGTAGAAAAGTCTTTTTTCCCTTATATAATTTCTTGTATATATGTAAATATATTGTGCATAAAAATCCTTGACTTGTACATATGTATATAGTTGGAATCAGATGATATGCCAAAGAGACAAGGTGGGTGAGGTCATATCTTTTATTGGACAAACTTCCGTTGTTGGACAATAAAAGAAGAAGCTGGTCCAATAAAAGAGATTACCTCATCACACCACCTTGTGTGTCTCATATCCTGGGACCAACATGCTGACAACAACACTACAAACCATCACTATACCATTGAGTTTATTATATAAATGCATAAAGACTGTTATAGTAACATTTTTATAACTTTCAAAGAACATAGTTGTCCTTAGTGTGCACTTGTTTCTCTAACTCTCTTCAATAGATCAGTAATAGCTATATAAATGTGTAAATACTGTATGAGTGGGGAGGGATTAGTAGTGTAATAATAAGTATTATCCCAGAAATATGTACTTTTCAGCAATTCACTAAAATCCATGGGATTAAGGTGAAATGACTGTTTGAAACATCCCTGCGCTTTTCTATTTTTCTAGAGAGTTTTATTAACCTTTAGTGAATTTGATGTTTTGTGAAATGTGCGAACTGGCAGGCCAGGAAATCGCAGTCCCCTGGATGGGTTCAGCAAGGGCAACAGCAGTACGTTTCCCACACACTTCTCTTTGCCAATTTGCCTCACTCCTTTTCAGGAGGGGCCACTTCTCAGGACTCAGTTTCCCAGGCTTCTCAGCAGAGGCTACCAGATAGTGCCAAGGACACCCTGGTGGGGTTTGTGGTAGGGACTAGCTAGGAGCTGGACTGATAAAAGTAATCCACTTTCAACAGGGGTCACCAAACGTCTGTCAAATGGCAAAGATTTTTACCCCATTACTGAGCTGGACTGGGCTTAAACCAAGGACCTAGACCTACCTGTGTAGCGCCTTCCGGTTCTACTTTTTCTGATTTTTTTTTGCACCTAAGGAAAGGTGATCAAAAACCAAGGGTTGCTGAATTTTGTTATAAGGTTTTAACCAATAAGGTTTATTTATTGAAGCAGTCTGACGAGTAAGTTCTCCCCAGTGGTATCTTGCTGTATGAGGAGCACTGGACTTGCCAGTACTTACTTGTTGAAGACTTAGGAAGAGATTAAACTCTTAACGGGAATGTCGGTTCTTGACAGAAATGAAGAGCAATGTATTTTGCTCCCACAGCTTTTCCTGGTGCATTCTAATTTGACAGTCAGTTAATCCCCAGACATTACGATTCTGGCATGTTTGATTCAAACCACCTCTGCTCGCTCCCTTGCAGTGTCCAAGACCGATGCCCTGACTTCCCTCTTTTCCCTTAATGCTGAGCACTTACCTGGTCCTGACCTTCCTCCTGCTGTACCTTAGAAACACTCCCTTCCACAGTTGTGCTCCTCCTGGCTGGGAAATTGTCCCACAAAATGCACATCTCATTCAAACCAGCATAAGCATATCAGTGCTCTTCCTTCCAGCTGCTGAATTCTCATTCATCCTCCCTTGACAAGTGCTTGGTTCAGATGCCTAACAGCTGTGAAACCCAGCCACCAGACTTGTTCTGGTCTCCAAGCCAGGAGAGGGACAGATCCTCAGCTGGTGCAAATTGGCATAGCATCATTGAAGTCCTTGGAGCCAGAGGAATTTACAGTAGCTTAGGGTCTGGTCCAGAGTGTCCACTTCCTGCGTGTGCTCCATCTAGGCAGGAGGTAGTATTCTGAGCAGGTTAGTCCCATGTGGTGTTAGTCCCATTTCAGGGAAAAAATGCAGCATTTCTGGATGTTATGGGATTGGGATCATGCCCCTGTGTCCTGTTAAAAGGACCATTACCAACCTGAAGCTTTTCTGTGCTGATTACTATTTGATATAAAGAGTTTTTGAGGTTTGTCCCCATACAGCTCACTGTTTTTAATGGGTAAGCTCCAAAAGCTTCAAACTAGAGCCTTCTACCTCTGTTGTTGTTCTCTGCATAAACTCAACATGCTTGTGTCCTTTCTTTCTGGAGTGGTTTATCTGCCTTTCTGCCATGTTTTTGTTGGAGTGCACAGATCACCACTGAGCTATCTTTTCTGTTGTCCTGCAATGTGAAAGTAGCACCGGATATTCCTTTGTGCATTTCTGTGTATATGGCTTTTGTAGTTGGGATCTTCAGAGCACTGATACCAGGTGTTTTCAGTTTATTCTATGAGGGGAGATTTCATTTGCATCTATGTTTTTAGCTATCCTGTGATAACTTGTTGAATATTAAAATAAAAATAAATATTTTGCTTCTATTGGGACATTTGTATACTCGCAACTATATTTCTGTAAACAGCTGCAGTCAAGAATAAAACATTGAAAGTTTTCATTTTGCAGCGTGAACTCCTGTCATGTTCTTTCAAAGGCAGCTTCTCTCGTGCCCCAGTGAAAAAAGCAGCTACTGTAAGTACTTAATAAATTTGGCTGGCTGGTGATGGTAGCCTTATGGCTTGGTGCTGACACAGGGGAGACTGAGTCCAGGCTGGTATCCTGCTCAGGCACCCTTGTAGGAATTGTTACACAAGCAAATACTCTTTGCAGCTTTCCCAGGGGTTTTAGTGATTCCTTTTGACCTCATAACTGGTTCTCCCAACTCCAGAGTGGTCTTACAGAGGCAGAAATCTCCTTGCTGCTCGGGCCATGGCATTTGCATTTATAGGGTCATGAAAATTGCTATATTAATCTGGTCCAGTATCCTCTTTGACAGTGTCCAATACCAGATGTTTAAGAGGAAGGTGCAAGAAACCTCCATAGTGGACAACTATGGTTAATCTGTCTATAGGGTAATTCTTAAGTAATTCTAAGATGGTTAGCTAGATGTCAATTCTGGACAAGGTGATACAGGATTCAACTGATTAGGAATTAAAGGCTAGGAGTATAATTTCTGACATCAACATGATTTTATTGGAAATAGGTCTCGTCAAACAAATCTGATCTAACTCTTTGAGGTAACCAGTTTGGTTGATAACGGCACCTGCACAGAGGTAAAGTGGTTATGCTTTTGTAAGGTGTTTGACTTAATACCACACAACAGTCTGATGAAAACATTAGCACGATGAACCGGATGAAGAGCTGGCTAGCGACAGGTATCAGCAAGCAGCTGTCCGCAGGGCATTGCCATTGAACCGGGGAGTTTCCAGTGGGGTCCAGGAGGGATCGGCTCTGGGATGAGGCTCTCCAACGTTTCCAACAATGACCCAGAAGAAACAGACGCTCACGGCTGATGATGTTTGCAGGTGACCCAGATTGTCAGAGTGGTAAATAGTGTTGAAGACAGGGCAGTCATACCTAGCTATCTGGATTATTTCGCAATCTGGGTCCATTCAAACTGTGTTTTTAATACAGCCACTTGCATATTTATAAATCTAGGACTGTGGTTTTTAACCTTTTTTCATTTGTGGACCCCTAAAAAATTTCAAACGGCAGTGCAGACCCCTTTGGGAATCTTAGACATCGTCTACAGACCCCCGGGGTCCACAGGCTATAGGTTGAAAACCACTCTTCTATGGTAAGTACAGCCTTTCACAGACTCCTTAGACATAGTCTGTGGACCCCCATGTGTCCACGGACCAAAGGTTGAAAACCACTGATCTAGGAACAAGGAATGCAGGACGTACCAACAGAATGGAGGCCTGTAGCCTAGAAAGCAGTGACTGAAAGGATTTAGGATTCACGAGGTATGTCTGCACTACAGTTAGACACCCGCAGCTGACCTGCGCCAGCTGACTGGAGCTCATGGGGCTGTTTAATTGCAGTGTCAATGTCTGAGCTCAGGCTGGAGTCCAGGCTCTAAGTCCCAGCACTTGGGCTGCAGCCTGAGCCCAGAAGTCTACAGTACAGTTAAACAGCCCCACAGCCTGAGCCCTGTAAGCCTGAGACAGGTGTGCATATCTAATTCCAGTGTAGGCATACCCATAGTGGACAAGCAACTGACCAGGAAGCTCCCAGTCTGGTGCTGTGGCAAAAAGGGTTAATGTGATCCTTAGATGTATAAACAGGGAATAGTGATTAGGAAGGTGATTTAACCTGTGAAAATGGCATTAGTGAGACCAATATTCTAATGCTGTGTACAGTTCTGGCGTCCACATTTTAAAAAGGCTGTTGAAAAATTGGAGAGGGCGTAGAAAAGAGCCACACGAAAAATGACTGAAGGGCTGAAGAAAATGCCTTGCAGTGAGAGGCTTAGAGCTCGGTATGTTTAACTTGTCAAAAAGAAGATTGAGAGGTGAATTGATTAGTGTCTAAGAACCTTATTAGAGAAAATACCAGGTACTTAAGGGCCGCTTAATATAATAGCGAGAAGCAGACCAAGAACCAATGTCTGGATGCTGAAGCCAGACAAATTCAAATTACAGATAAGGCACAATTTTTTAATGGTGAGGGTGATTAGCCACTGCAACAAACTCCCAAGAGAAATGGTGGATTCACCCTCTTGATGTCGTCCATTGAGACCAGACGCCTTTCTGGAGGTGAGGCTTTAGCCAAACACAAGTTACTGAGCTCAATATGGGGTAACTGGGTGAAAAGTAATGGCCTGTGTTATACAGGAGGGCACATGAAACAATCTGATGGTTCCTTCCGGCCTTCAACGTCGTGAGCTATGCTGCCTACTGCAGTGTTGCCACACCCTTCCAAAATGAGTCTGGACCCCCAGTATTATTTTGAAAAAGGGGAGGTTGCCTTTTGATTTCAGAGCCTTCAGGGTTCACTCAAGTCACATTTTCAAGTTTTCCTCTGCATCCATGAGGAACAGAAATTTACCTTTTTAAATAACAAAAACTGAGATTCTCAATTATAGGATTCTACAAGCTGGATTAAAAAGCACAAAATATTGCTAGATTCATGATAAAATTGCAGGAGTTGACAATCCTGCTAGTGATTGATTTAGCCTTCTACCCAGAAACATGAGGTTTAGAACTTCTATAAAATTGTCCTCCGTAATGTAATTGTATGTTTCCATGTTAGCCATAGAAACTTCTGATCTTTTGTAGAATCCTTTTAAGCCCTTGACGTCAATGATACATTACGGCAAGGAGTTCAACAGGTTGATTATTCATGGTAGGGTTGGGAGGGAAAGTGTTTCCTTTTATCAGTGGTATTAACTTGCTGCCTTTCACTTTGACTGAGTATCCCTTGTTCTTGTATTTTGAACGGGTGAACATGAGACCCTGACTGACTGTCTAACCATTCATGCTTTTGTTATGTAATCCTTCTGCCAGGGGTATTCCTTCCACAAGTGTCTGCATACATTTGTCAACACTGGGCAGAATGATAGCAGATGAAATTCAATCACCTCGTTTTGCTAGGTCTCTCCAGAGTTCCTCAGTCTCCTCTAGTCTTGATTAACCTAAATAACTGTATCATCTGTAAAGCATCTGGCTAGGGGGTACACAAGTTCTTCACCAAGCCCAAGAACTGTCTTCACAGCACCAGCTTGGAGAGGGGAGCCTACAACTCAAGATGTCTACATTGGTCAGCAGCTGTCAGCTTGGCCCCATGTGGATTTGAATTGTCTTTACTTTGCAATCTCAAAGGATGTATTTAATCCATAGTGCACACAATAAGATTTCAATTGCTACCTTGAAATACCATGAGACAGGAAGCTCTCGTGTTGACAAGCTGGAATGTTGGACTAAAAGAACTGGGTTTTCTTTTAAAATCATTGGAAATCTGAGATTTTCCAGTGTCTTGTAAGATGGGTTGTGGTTTTGATTTGGGGTATTTCAAACCATTTAGTGATTAGATTAACCAAACTAGAAGCACTTTCCCTTCGATAAGGTTGAAGCTCTGAGACTGAGTGTTTTTCAAAAGGTGAAGTCTGTTGATGCAGAATAAGGAACTGTCCCCTTCCCCTGGTGGGAGGAACACACAACACTATTAAAGGGAGATGCTGAAACGTTAAAAAATGCTTTGTAGATCCTTCTTCCTATATATAATTCATAGTTAAAATGTTCTCACTAATCACGTCATCATCCTTGAAATGAGTAAAATGAACAATTTTATGCTAAAGCTTTTCTTACCACTGCAGTCATTAAAGCAGTTCAAGAAAAGTACTTCTGAAGTTAGGGCTGCTGGCCAGTGGCATAACACAGCCCCAGAGGGTCCTCATGCAAGAACATGTTAGGGGCCCCCTTCCCAATTCTGAAATCTGCCCACCTCCAATTCCCACACTGCCCCAATCTAGCCCGCGTCCTCTAGTGGCTGCCTAGGTCCTCCCAGCCCTGCCACCAAGCCCCTTACTCCCACATATTCAATATTTTGCATAGTGTGACTGATGTCTGTAACTCCCCCCAACCCTCCCCAAAAAAACCCAAACTCCAGATTCATGAGACGACTTTGGAAGAAACTGGCATGGCCTTAACTGGGTGAAAGGGCTTAAAATAATGTTACCGAACATTCAATATGAAAGAAATCCTATAAAAACAGATTATTTAAAAAAACCAATCACAACATCCATCCAGCAGCGACATTAAAAATAAACTTAATTATCAGCTTTATCACCTCTGTCATAAATGTAAAGGGAAGGGTAAACACGTTTAAATCCCTCCTGGCCAGAGGAAAAATCGTTTCATCTGTAAAGGGTTAAGAAGCTAAGATAACCTCGCTGGCACCTGACCAAAATGACCAATGAGGAGACAAGATACTTTCAAAGCTGGGGGCAGGGCGGGGGGAGGAGAAACAAAGGTTCTCTCTGTCTGTGTGTTGCTTTTGCCGGGACCAGAGCAGGAATGCAGGTCAGAACTGTAAAGAGTCAGTAAGCAATCTAGTTAGATATGCGTTAGATTCTGTTTTGTTTAAATGGCTGATAAAATAAGTTGTGCTGAATGGAATGTATATTCCGGTTTTTGTGTCTTTTTGTAACTTAAGGTTTTGCCGAGAGGGATTCTCTGTTTTGAATCTGATTACCCTGGAAGGTATTTACCATCCTGATTTTACAGAGGTGATTCTTTTTCTTTAATTAAAATTCTTCTTTTAAGAACCTGATTGCTTTTTCATTGTTCTTAAGATCCAGGGGTTTGGATCTGTGTTCAGCTTTGCAAATTGGTGAGGATTTTAATCAAGCCAGGAGAGGGGGTGTAGGGCTTGGGGGGATTTTGGGGAGAAAGACGTTTCCAAGCGGGCTCTTTCCCTGTTATTTTTGTTAGACACTTGGTGGTGGCAGCAATAAGGTCCAGGGACAAAAGGTAAAATAGTTTGTACCTTGGGGAAGTTTTAACCTAAGGTGGTAAAAATAAGCTTAGGGGGGTTTTCATGCAGGTCCCCACATCTGTACCCCAGAGTTCAGAGTGGGGAAGGAACCTTGACAACCTCCAATTTCTTCTCCAAACAAGGCA